AGGATCATATTCGATCGTATTCTTCTTTCTCCGCCATCAACATCGCAGGCTGTATCGGATCCGTCGTTTTGTCCTGTTATCGACAACACAAAGTTCGTTTTCTCCCCGTATATGGCAAGATTTTGTTTTAAGTTTCCGTTCGTTTCACAAACATCAAGCGATCTCGTTCATTTCACAAGCAACTAATTCTAGAAGCTACCAATGGAAGTTGGTGGAAAAAACTGATAATGCTGGTGATGATTCGTCATCGGATTTTGAGGAAGAACGTGACGATAAGGAAGGTGATGATGCTGAAGCTGAGTATATGCGGAGAGAAGAGTTGTATGCAAGGCGGATATATGGCTTGTCATCATTCGACAGCACGCAGGGTTCATCTGCTAGGGTAAGTATAAGACGGCAATAAATGGATTCATGACTTTAGGACAGTCTGTTGTTCTACTCAGTGAAAAATCGATGATCGAGCTGTCGATCGTTTGAAGTTTTTACCATTCTTCCCCACTCCTTCCCGCATGCAAAGTTCGGTCAGTGTTTACAGCTAAGGGATGAAACACAGAGATTGCATCGTAAAATGTCTTTTTGCACATGATACTTAGTCCAATCCCTCTATTCTACTATTTCGCCTTAATCTGTAGAGTTTCGGCAATGAAGAAACAGTGGGAATGTGTGATGTGTTTGTGAAAGCCACCGAAATTTACCGATTAACATTGTGCTGTCGTCACTAGAAGGGAGTTTTCAGGGTCGCAGTTAGAAATATAGGAAGCTTAAGCTGCATTCATGAAGTGCTAACAGTTGTTACAACAGTATGAATTTTAGCCGTTACAAAGTATGGATTTTTTACGTAGAAAGCTCTAGTTCTAGTCGTTTTTAGATGGTGATGTTCAGTACGTTAGCGTAGAAGCATTTTGTTCAGGGATTGCAAGGGTACAGAAGCGATTGTACTACTGCAAAAATTTGCTAGCCAATGCGTATTTTTCAGGATGGATCAAGACTTTTCGCTAACTGTGATAGTGCACAGCTCGGGAGTAAATCACCACCAGTTCATCCCTGTTCATGTTGCCTTTATTTTTTGTATGCTTTTAGATGGATTCGAGGGGTGGTATTTCGCCGGGGAACTCGGGCGAGCAGATAGTGGTGCTTGATGATGATGATGACAGGAACGAGTCTGTGACGGACAGTGCTCAGGGTGCCTCATCAGTGAACGGTATCCGTAGTTCAAGCAGCCGTTTAACGGTTCTCAAGTAAGTTTTCACAGATCGAAACTTGTTCGTAATCTTTTTTTCGTTTTGTTTTTTTTTTTTTTTTTTTTTTTTTTT